TATTGGCTCAGTCTGAAGCTGTTGACATGCTCCAACCACTAATTTCTCTGAAACTAAACCTGCATTCTGAAAGACTTCTTCACCAAAAGAATTTCTTCCTTCAACCGTAAAGGTCTGTCCAGGGGACAATGAATTCACCACCAGCTGGGTTGCAAGCCTGGAAAGTTGTCTTGAAGATTGACAGGGCAAGTTGAGCTCTTTCTTCTTTGTCTTTGACTAGTTAGAGTCTGATGAAGTTTTTACCAGTCTGGAACTTCCATTAATAGCTTCACCTAGATTCTTTTCTAGCAGGATATTAGTAGCTGGAGGAGAAACAAGCCCATCAATGGCAGCATCCTCCAATGGTATTGAAGCAGTAAGAGTCTTGACTGCAAATTCCAGGCATGTGTCAATCCAAGAATTGACAAAAGGAAATCTGATTTCTGGCTCTGACTTCTCACTTGACATTTTATCATTGTCCAGCTTATGGCATTGGTCTGCATAAACAGTTTGATGTTGATGAGGCTCTCTGCTCTTTGTTGATAACTCTTTGTGCAATGCAGTGGCTGTATGCATAGAGCCATGTCTGAGCCCTGTTATTGCCTCAGGATCATTCTGTTGAGAAGATCCATTGGCCAAATTTTCTGAAGTTAAACCTGCAACTTGAATGGATTCTTTATTGCAATAATTACTTGCTGCAGTTGCAATAACTTGTTTACTGGAACGTGAATCCACAGACTTTTTAAGTGCAGGCGCAGCAAGTCGTTTTGAGGATCATCGAGGCAAGTTGAGTTCTTTATTATTCTTCCTCTTCTTTGACTTGCTTGAGTTTAGCACAGTTTTCTCAGTGCTGTCACTTTGCATGACTGTTTTACCTATATTATTTTCTTGCATGATGTTCACGGCTGGAGCAGAAACAAGCTCATTATTGACTGCGTCCTCCAGTGGTATTGCACCAGTAAGAGTCTTTCTTGCAAATTCTAGGCAGGGGTCTGACCAAGAATATGTAAAGGGGAATGAGAACTGTAGATTTGACTTCTCATTGAGCATTTTCTCAGTTACCAGCATTTGGCATTTGTCAGCAAGAAAAATTTGGTCTTGAAGAGGTTCTTTGCTCTTGTTTGAACATGATACAGAGGTTGTATTTGAAGAGTCACATCTGTGCCCTGTTATTGGCCCAGCATCAAGCGGTTTACATGCTCCATCTGCCAAATTCTCTGATGCTAAACCTACATCTTGAGTGACTCCTTTGTAACAAGAATCTATAGTTGTTGTAGGTTCAAGAGGTTGTTCACTGGAGGATGAATTCACCACCAGCTCAGGGCCAAGCCCAGCAAGTCGTTTTGATGATCGGCATGGTATGTTGAACTCTTTCTTCTTCTTTATTGAAGTCTTTTTATTGCCACGACTTCCCATGCTTGTTTCATGTAGATTCTTCTCTTGCAGGATATTTGCAGTTATGGTGCAAACAATCTCATTATTAGCAGCTTCCTTGACAGGTACTGTACTTGTATGAGTCTTCTTGGTCACAAATTTTAGACATGGTTCTGATGAAAAGAGAGACTGTACAGCTGATGTATCATCATGAATCTTCTTAGTTTCAATCATTTCTGGTTTCCCTTGCAGAACAGCTTTCTCACAAGGAAGCATTTTGCTCGTACTTATTGGCTCTCCATATCATTGGGTGGTCACAACAGCAGAAGCTTGATTGGAGATCCCCATTCTATGGTCAATTTTAAGATAGTGGGTTGTGTTGTCCACCAAAACTTTGTCAGTATTAGCTTTAATTTTGCAATGCTTTGTACTTAGGGTCTGAAGAGCCACTTCATGGGTGACCAGCTCAGGTTCTAGCCCAGCAAGTCGTTTTGAAGATCTCTGAGGCAATTTAAGCTCTTTCTTCTTCCAAGATTTTCCTGAATTATTAGCTTTTGCATTGTGGATCTTCTCCGTCCCATTTTCAAGTGAGTCCCTTTTGGCTGCTGACAATGGCTAAAATGGAAAAAGAAAAGAAAACCATGTCAATTAAAATTTTCATCTCATAGTGTAGAAACTTCAATTTAACACTGGTTGCTTATTGCTCTACAACATTTGTAATTGCATAACTTCCATTTATCACATAAATACAACCACTTTGAGCTGGAGAAAAGCCAGCTGCTCGTTAGAGAATTCACGCTGTATAGTGTCCACAGGAACAGGCCAAAAAAAAAAAAGGTATCCAGAAGAAGCTTTGGCTACTCCAATACAAGGTACTAAAATGGAATAAAGACCATAAATAAGCGTAGTTTTACTTGAATCTACTCCAAGGTAAAATATTATCCCCTAAGCCAACAAAATATCTCTAAACTTTTCATGCAAGCATACATATTTCTAATAGATCAGAAAAATAAACAGACATGGAATATATATCAATGTAAAGCTTGCAGCAATATGTGTATGCACAGACACACATACACATGTTTGATATGTGGTCTGCGTGAGTATACACATGCATATAGGTATAGATTATGATAATGAATCTGTATTTAAAAGTGGAAAGGGAAGAGCAGAGGTGTAATAGAACCAAACATGAGTTGAAACAAGAAATTCCATACAGGATCTTTCCTCTTTTCACGTGTGTCCCTTCTAATTTTGAGTTCCTTAATCCACCCTGGTGGTAAATCATCTGCTGGATACTTCTCAATCACAACCTAGATTTCCAGAAAGAACACCATATCTAAATAAACAGTTATATAATCATTAAAGGCATCAATAGGTTGAACTTCATACCCCCAACAAAAATCTATAGGTTGGACTTCAATGCTTTATCCTCTTTATTTCACTTCACTTTAAGCTTTATCTGACTTTTGGGCGTGTTCTAACATATAGCTTCTGTCTACCAATGTAATTTAAACACACGTCACACACAAAGCATCTTCTGCTATAGAATACTTAGAAAAACGCAATGGAATGAGATTTTGAGGACCAACTTTGCTTGAGGAGTGCATGCTTTTTCTCTTGATTGGATATTGGTTTTTTCTGCTTTATATTATTAAGATATCGAAACACCTCTGGCTTGGAATAGAATCTGAATCTGGTAGAGGGATGAGAATAACACTGCAAACAAGAAAGCAGGGCAAAGCCAAGGTTTCAGACATTTATACTTGTTAAAAGTATTACCAAATATGAAATATAATCACCTGGAAAACTTAGTCATCAAATGTAACTAATCTAAAAGTAAGTAAAATTAGTATAAACTTTAATCTATAATCTATTCACTGACTAATGCATGCACTATATGGAAGACCTAAAAATCACATTTACTTGACAAGAAATTGGGTACGATCTGCCAAGAATTTACCCTGATACAGATATACAGTGACAATTAAACTAGTAGTATTAGCCTATTAGGTGTCTTAGTAGAACCAGCATCAGTGTCAGAAAAGGAAAAGAAACTATTGACAGTAATGTGATATGAACCCAAGGTGATGAGCCAGAAAGTGAAAAGGCACTAAGATTACTACACAACACCTTGAACTGTCTTCCAGAACTTGCACCACTTTTATGGGTTTTTAATTCCACAAACCAACCTTCTGGCAACCAATCAGGATTTTCAT